CCGGGGCCAGCGTGAGCAGGGCCCAGAGCAGGGTGGCAGGGGTACAGGGTCCCAGCTGGCAGGGACTCTATGAAGCTGGGCCAGCTCCCCACTCTCCCTGCTGGTGCAGCCCAGCCTAGCTCCACAGACCCCTGCCAGCCTGCGCCCTGATCTGGGCTCCGCCAGTGCTGGCCCTGGGACATTGGTCCCGAGTGTCGTGGAAACACACGCAGCATACTTTTGGGTCAGGTCAGCAGAAGCTTTTATTCAAAAGAAACTACAGCTGTTTGGGGGACTCCAAAGTGACATGGATTTCCCAAGCACTTGGAAGGGGTTCCCCCCAAGAGCAAAATCAGGAGACTTATATACTTTTTAACAGTTGTTTACAACTCACGTGATCATATAGTGAAATTAGCATGAAAATGGGCTATAAACATTACTTCATTACTTCTTTGCTGTAATCAGGATGGGAACTTATGGGGGAGGCGAGGTTAGTTCAAAAACCTCCTTCTTGCACCTGGAATCAGAGTTGTACATACTTTTTGCTATCTTCAAGGCCGCGGTGAGCGAAGCAGTTGCAGAAGAGTTACAAAGAACAAACACTTTCCTTTATCTGTTCTACTGTACAGAGCCAGCAATTCTCCACAAAGCGGTTATGTCATCTTATAACTCAAATGATCAAAGTTTAAGGCATTTCTTTTTTCTGATTCCACACGAGACATTAGGACATTTATCCCAAGATGGTGATGAGGGGGTGGGGCAGCTGTCAAGGGGTGAGGCTACCCATGTGGCCCTCAACAGCTAGCCAAAACTGGGTAAGTGACCCTCCGCCCAAAATAATTGCCCGCCCCTGGGCTAAATCCAGTCCATGAAGAGGTCCAGCCTGGCCCAGGAGACCACAGGGGAACAGATGGCATGCAGCTGTGGTTATCCACCTGTCCCCTCCATTGCACCCTGTTCTACAGCCCTCTCTGCTGTTCTCTCATGTCTGCACGTAGTTTTGCTGCAGAGGGGTTAAGTATCTGCACCAAGGGTAAGTGCAAGTGTCTTGAGCTCTCTGTGGGGCACCACGGAGATGCTCTGGCCAGAAACCAGAACGTCTCTCCTGGAGGACTGACTCCCTGCTGGCTGCAGGCACAGTCTGGGACCGAGCCTTGCCCCACTGTTCTGCGGAGTGATTTTTTTTTGACCCCTGGATATCCAGGGGTCTGATTTTGTCCCTGCACTGCAAGTTTGCAGCATAGGGAACATTTTTTCGTTCCCACATGTGCCTCTTGATCCGTCTCAAAGGGGTTTGAGAAGGGGCAAGAGGCACGTGCACGCTCATCTGGATGCACCCCATGTGTTCCCAAGCACATCCCCAACATATATTCCTCTTTGCATACCCTAAATTTGAAACTGTACCAATAAAGACACTATGGAGAGTCCTTCCATAGCTATACCTGAAACCCCAATCTCTGAGAATAGTTGCTAGGGAGACCCAGCATCTCTAAAGCAATGATGATGAATGTCAGGGAGGGTAACGAATGGAGGATAGATCAGTGCAGATATACCCAGTTCAGTGCTCTCCCTCTAAAGCAGCAACTCCTGCCACAGTTGAAGACAGGATACTGGGCCAGATGGACTATTTGTCTGACCAAGTATGGCACTTCTTTCTTTTGTTCTTATGTTCTTAAGCCTGGAGTGACCCTACTGGCAAATTTATAGGTTTGGAGTCTGCAGGTAGGAGCAGGGGGTGGGGAGTTCTTGGGAGTGATCTGGCATAGTACACTGCCTGGTGGCATACATATTCTCTGAGTGATTTGCCCAGAGTTACACAATAAATCAGTGAAAGATTCCCCAGTCTTGTGCTTGGTCCACTGGTTCACAGTATAGTTTGTGGCTTGTTGAGAGACCATTTTGATCAGTAATCCTCAAAGGGAGGGTATTTTCCTTAACCTTAGAAGGTTTTAATATATAAGAATTAAGCCTTAAATCCTTTCTTTTGGGGCATTTTTTTAAATAGGACTTTTCCTTTGTTTCATAGTTTCATAGTTTCTAGGGTCGGAAGGGACCTGGGCAGATCATCTAGTCCGACCCATTGCAAGATCAAAACAGTGAAATAAAAATGAAATGGATATCAGTGAAACAACCTTGAAACAAAATGAGGCAAGATGAAACATTTTGCTGTTTCTACGCTGTGTAGATGTTTTGCCCATAGGCTATAATGGGGAAGGACGAATCGGCCTAGAACTTTGTCATTTCTGGCCTGATGTGGATGAAACTTACAGGAATGGTAGCTCCTCCTGAGGGCATGAAGCCTGCCAAGTTTGACAGCAAGGTCAAAACTGCAGGCTTGCTAGCCCCTGCTGAGGCCACAAAGTCTGACAGCTGTCAAGGAAATTGGTGCAGGGCTTCTGGGTTCTGGGGCCCTGCACCTCTAGCTGCTGACAGGCAACACTTGTGCCATGGGTGCTTGTAGGATGTGGTCTGTCTTGGGGCACAGGGGGGTGAAAACTGCAAGATCATTGGGTCCAGCCCCTTGCACCAAGCAGGAAAGACAGCTGGGGACAGGTGACCCCAGCAAGGTCTAGTCTCCTCTTGAAGATTTCCAGGGTAGGTGATTGTAGATTTGCCCTCCCTAGCCCCCTTCCCACACTGCCAAGCCATGTTTAGCTTGGAGTCAATAATGACTCCAAGATCCTTTTCCACCTCCATGCTGACAAGAGGGGAGTTCCCCAGC